AACGGAAGTTTAGAGATGGGTCTGAAGCTGCTATGGAGAGAGGCGTCGAGACTCGGTTTTTTAAGAAGCGGGTGGATTACAGCGTTCTTAAAGTAAGCAGGGACCTGACCAGAAACCAAAGAAGCATTAATTATAATTATTTTGGGGCAGCAGTAGCTCAGGTGGTAGAGCGGGTTGCCTCATAATCGGAGGGTCATGGGTTCGATTCCAGCTCCCGCCTGGGGTATCCTGCTGTTGTGTCCTTGGGCAAGACACTTCACCCAACTTGCCTGTGTTAGTGGTGGTCAGAGGGGCCGATGGCGCCAAATGGCAGCCTCGCCTCTGTCAGACCTCCCCAGGGCGGCTGTGGCTACAAGTAGCTTACCATCACTAGCAGTGTGTGAATGTGAGAGTGTGTGAAAGCGTCTTTGGGGGTCTTGAAAAGCGCGATATAAGTTCAATGCATTATTATTATTATTATTATTATTATTATTATTATTATAGAGAGCACGCTGGGCCCGATGGACTGAAAAGCACTTTTAAACAAAGATGAGGGTAAGATGTGGAGGGGGCTTGCAGAGGTCTTCATAGAGTTAACTAGTTTGGTTAACTCAGGCAAAGAAACAGGAGCAAAGCTATCTAGGATGATGGGCCTGACTGGAGTCGGGAGAGACAGCGATAAGGCTGAAGGAGAGATGCTAGATCTAACCTTATTGACTTTGTCCACAAAGAAAGACAGAAAGTTCTCACAGTCTGTAACAGAGTGGATGGAGGCTGTAGGAGAGGCAGGAGAGACGATGCTGCTGATGGTGTTAAACAGCACCTTGGGGTTCCCTTTGCTCTGGGACACAGGTTGGAAAAATAGACAACTCTCGCATCTCTGACAGCGGAGTTAAAGGATGTCAGAAGATCTTTTAGGTGCAGCAGATGGATGTGGAGACATTTTTTTTTTCCACAAGCGCTCAATTTTTCTGCATTGGCGCTTCAGGCTGCGAAGGCTGTCATTAAACCAGGGAGTAGGGTTCTGAATAGGCACCTCTGTTCCCAAAATGCCCCATAGGGCATGGAGACCCTAGCCCATCTCGCCAAGGCCCTAAGCAACAGCATTGCAGAGCCCCATGGAGTCCGAGGGCACCAACCCAGCCCCACCCCAGCAGAATATCTACTCCCATCCCTGCATTTGCACAACTTCCAGAATATATAAGACATTAGACATCCAGGTAAGATTGGGTCCTCCCCCTCCTTGACATCCCCTTCTCTCGTGATGGGACAGAATTATTATTTCAGAAGAGCCAAGGTCCACCTGAGGCCCCTGAGCTTGGGCCAGGCGCTGCCACATGTTCCCGCCTTCTTCCCGACAGCATACATGTCAGAAACCAGCCCCAAGGCCCCACCTAGATCCCCACATGGGGATCCTTTTAAAACATCTAGCCACCATTGGTGTCCATAACACCGCTTTATCTTGGTTCTCTTCATATCTTTCCGATCACTCTCATTCTGTTCAACTCAAGTCTTTTGAATCCCATCCTTCCCCAGTTACAAGTGGTGTGCCACAAAGCTCTGTCCTGGGTTTCTGTCTTTTCATTACTATATTCTCTGCCTGGGCAATGTCTTTAGAAAATATATTGTCAATTTCCACCATTATGCAGATGATACCAAATTGTATCTCTCCTTTAAACCAACTGCATCTTTTCCTTCTTCCTCTGTTAAATTGTCAACATGAAACAAAAACATGGTTCTCACTGCGTCATTGGAACAAACTTCCTCTGGGTATTCGTACAGCTTCATCTATCCAAACTTTCTAATCACTACTTAAAACTCATTTATTCAGGCGTGCATATTCTACTTGATTTTTTTTATGTGTTGTTATATCTGCCCTTACTTTTTAACCTGCTCTTATTTGTTTTAGGTTTTGCCCTGTTGTTTATGTGTATTGCTTTTATCTCTAATTGATTTGTTTGCATTGTTTTTAAACTGTGATATTTATGTTCATGTTTTATGTTCAGTGACCTTGAGAGTCTTGAAAGGCACTTACAAATAAAATGTATTATTATTATTATTATTATTATTTATTACAGGCACAGTTCAAGTTCAGGCTCCAAGTGGCAGACCCAGAAACATCTGGGATAAACAGAAGAGAAGAATGGTGAGAACAGTCAGAGTCAACCCACAGACCAGCACCAAAGACCTACAACATCATCTTGCTGCAGATAGAGTCACTGTGCATCGTTCAACTATTGGGTGCACTTTACACAAGGAGATGCTGTATGTGAGAGTGATGCAGAAAAGGCCGTTCCTCCACCCACAACACAAACAGAGCAGTTCGATCTATACTAAAGCACATTTGGATAAGCCAGATTCATTCTGGAATAAGGTGATGGGGACTGAATGGAACTAAAACTGAGTTATTTGGGCATAACAAGGGGTTACCAGATGAGTGAGCATCCTGTGATTACAGGTGTGTAATCTGCTCCAGTTACTCTGGTGTGTAATCTACTCCAGTTACTCAGGTGTGCAAACTACTCCAGTTACTCAGGTGTGTAATCTACTCTGGTTACTCAGGTGTGTAATATACTTCAGTTACTCAGGTATGTAATCCACTCCAGTTACTCTGGCATGTAATCTACTTCAGTTATTCAGGTGTGTAATCTGCTCCAGTTACTCTGGTGTGTAATCTACTCCACTTACTCTGGTGTGTAATCTATGTGTAATCTACTTCAGTTATTCAGGTGTGTAATCTACTAAAGTTACTCAGGTGTGTAATCTACTCCACTTACTCTGGTGTGTAATCTACTCCACTTACTCTGGTGTGTAATCTACTCCACTTACTCTGGTGTGTAATCTACTCCAGTTACTCTGGTGTGTAATCTACTCAAGTTACTCAGTTCTATTATAGCCCAGATTACAGCAGGAAGTGGATCACACGTAACAAAGGTCACTTATTCAGAGATGTTGGGCAGCTTGACACACACACACACACACACACACACACACACACACACACACTACTTTCTAAGTTTTTACCTCACATGTGGCACATTTTAGAAAGTCTCTTCCTTTTTCTAACCCATCAGCCACAGATAACACCTTCAGTGATGCTTTGTCACCTTAGAGGCTTGATGCAGATTTCCTAGTGACGTCAATAAATTAAGTTGGCTCCCTGGTTTAATTCTGATTTATGAACTTCAAAACAAATCTCTAGAAAATTGGAGAGAACATGGCACTCTACACACCAGGAGGAGTCCTACTTATCCTGGAAAAATAGTCTTGTGGTTTATAAAATAAGCTTTGACAAACTAGAACTGCTTATTTTTCAGCGCTAATTGAGGAGAATAAGAATAATCCTAAATTTATTTTCAGTACAGTTGCTAAACTTACACAGAATCATAGCTCTGAACCATCTATTCCCTTAGCCCTCAGCAGCAACGACTTTATGGGATTTTTTACAAGTAAAATTAATTCTATTAGAAACAAAATCTTTAGCATCCTCCCTAATGCGATTTCTTCTTCCTCAGTAAGTAAGGCAGCATCAGAGGTAACTGTAGAACCTCATCTGTGCTTGAACCGTTTTGATCCAGTTGAGCTTTCAGAGTTATCAAAAATATTAGCTTCATCTAAACCTTCAACTTGCATTTTAGATCCAATCCCAACCAAATTATTTAAAGAAGCATTTCCTTTGGTTACTGCCCCATTCTAGATATAATCAATCTATCCTTAGTAAATGGATATGTACCACAGGATTTTAGGTTGCTGTAAACAAACCTTCACTTAAGAAACCTGGGAAGTTTGCTGAATTTACAGCCATTTGGTAGAATGTGGCTTTTTAATGATATTTTTCAACTTTTGGTCAGTATGGTCTACATTGGTTGATATATTTTTCATTCTAAATAATTTAATCTTTGGACCTGAGTAAACTTTGATATTGTTTTATACGTAATTGTAATACGTAAAAATATTTAGGTGATTATTTTCTAAAAATGTTGAATGTTTTCATTTTTTTATTGTGAAGAATTCCATTTTCTTATCCACATTCAGCTTCAAACTGCTTCTGAGTCAGAAGACAGATGGCTGCTTATAGTGAGCTAGGTTTTGTTGGTTTCTTGCTTTTAAAAGGAACTTTTCCTCTCCACTGTCGCTACATGCCTGTTTACTATGGGGATTGCATCAATGCAGTCTGCTGGGTTTATTTATGTAGGAAACGTTTAACCAATTGCCTTAATGAACTGAACACCATGCACTTATAAGTAGGTCCAAGTTGATTGATGACTCGTGATTCAACGCTAAATAAATAAATTGAATCGAATTGAAATAGTCTCACCACAGTATTAAATTTATAAAGGTATAATGATGCATGGGATTAACACTCCAATGTACCCCAAACCAGTGGTGAGTGATTATTTTAAAGGTACTGTGTTCAGTAGAAGACAACAGGGGTCTCATTTATAAAGCTTGCTTACGCACAAAATGGTAACTTTAAGTTGACTAAGGACCTGGCTTATGCACATTTTGGACATGGAGAGCCCCTGCAGTGCTGCTGCTGAGAAGGATAAAGTTATGAATTCCAGCAGCAGTATCACTTGCTTCGTACGCACACGGAACAAGCAGAAAGTGGGTGTGTTGAGGGCGGGATGTAATCCAGAAACAGCTGAGCACATTTCTAGGTAGAATGTGATTTATAAAGCGAAGATTGTGTGAAGGTGTGCATACTCCATGTTTTATAGGTCACAAACCTACTTGGCGTAAGTAATTTTTTTTTGCTAAGCTTAAATACGGATTAAGTAAGGACGCACTTAGTAAGGAGTCTACGCAATGTTTTATAAATGAGACCCCTGGACCTGAACCTTTTAGACAAAGTATTTTAATAAAGAAAAAAAATCACATTTCCTAAATAAATTTCACTGATGAAACATAACACTGGTTTTACATTAATGAAACTGACTCAACATTGATATGTCTCACAAAAAACAGACCTGGTTAACACAGCCATGGATTTCATGAAGAGGTCTCATCCTGGCACTTACCCACAATGCTTCATGTTCTGTGGCTTGTCCATGCGAATGGCCAGTTTGATTTTCAGGTCATCTGAGCAGCCTTTAGAAACGGTCATCTTATGGAGCTCACACTGCTTTGGACTGTTGGGGGTTGGGTGAAGTACAACCTACAACCCCCAAACACACACACACACGCGCGCGCGCGCACACACACACACACACACACACACGTATACATGGATATATAATGTGTATATGAAGTTCCACTCCACTGATCACAGCATAACAAGGTCTACATGGTGTTTAATCTTACCCTTCCGAGCTCCTTGTCCTCCAGAGCCAACACACCTGTGCTCTCAGTGAACAACTTCACCTTAACTGCAGGCAATGTTTGGGTGGTGGTGAAGTCTCCCTGGGTCCCCCACCTTTATCAAGGTCCATACAAACAAATCCAACGATTACATACAATGAACAAAAATATAAACGCAACACTTTTGTTTTTGTCTCCAATTTTTCATGAACTGAACTCAAACACCTGAAACTTTTTCTACATGCACAAAACACCCATGACTCTCAAATACAGAATCTGTCTACATGTGGTTAGTGAGCACTTTTCCTTTACCAAGATAATCCATCTCACCTCACAGGTGTGGCATATCAAGAGGCTGATTAGACAGCATGAATAATGTACAGGTGTGCCTTAGACTGCCCACAATAAAAGGGCACCCTGAAATGTGTAGTTTGATAAAACAGCACAATACCACAGATGTCACAACCTTTGAGGGAGCGTGCAATTGGCATGCTGACTGCAGGAATGTCTACCAGAACTGTTGCCCGTGAAATGAATGTTCATTTCTCTACCATAAGCCATCTCAAATGGCATTTCAGAGAATTTGACCGTACATCCAACCGGCCTCACAACTGCAGACCACAGGTGACCACACCAGCCCAGAACCTTTACATCCAGCATGTTCACCTCCAGGATCGCCTTCGACCAGCCACCCGGACAGCTGCAGCAACAATCGGTTTGCATAACCAGAGATTTTCTGCACAAACTGTCAGAAACCATTTCAGGGAAGCACATCTGCATGGTCGTCATCCTCATCGGGGTCCGGACCTGACTGCAGTCTATCGTCGTAACTGACTGGAGTGGTCAAACACTCACACTCAGTGGCATTTGGCACAGTGGAGAGGTGTTTTTTTCCACAGATGAGTCTCGGTTTTCATTGTTAAGGGCAGATGGCATACTGTGTGTGGTGTTGTGTGGGTGATGTCAACGTTGTGGAACGGGTGGCCCATGGTGGCCCATGGTGGCGGTGGGGTATCGGTACGGCCAGGCCTATGTTATGGATAATGAACACAGGTGCATTATATTGATGCATTGTGAATACACAAAGGTACTGTGATGAGATCCTGAGGCCCATTGTTGTGCCATTCATCCACGACAATCACCTTTTGCAACATGATAACGCATGGCCCCATATTGTTAAACTTGTGCTGCACAATAAATTCTCGCGAGATTTGGAGGCTTCCAAACTCATGAGAATCCGTCTTGTACTGCTCCAGTTCAAACCATCCGACCTCCGGCCTAAAATAGGCTGGACCAATCGTGTGCCAGTACTGTGCTGTAGGGTGGGATGTAGTTTTCATGATAGAATCAAGCGCTCTGCTAAGCAAAACAAACATGGCAGCACCAGTTGACACTAACAGCAAACAATAGCCATGACGGCAAAGCGGGATCCATGGATAAAAATGGTCGCGGTCAGACATCTTAAATTTGTTAAAACATATTTAACAGAAAATTACCTAAAGATCCACTGAGACATATGTAAACATTTCTACAGCTACATGTATAACTGTTATTTTGACATTTTTTACATATAGCCTGTTGTGATTCAGTTGTAAGGATATATCCACTTGGTGCCTTACATGTTGGGGACCTGGGTTCAAATCCAGGCAGGGACATATGAGTTTTCTAGGAAACAAACTATCCTCTCAGTCCCTACACCCCCAGCAGGTCCCTGAGGTCCAGTGGCCAAAGCCTACTCTTTGTGCTGCACCAGGCAAAGGTGACAGATCATCTGTTGCTGTGGCCCCCAGACTCTGGACCTCTCTCCCCCTGAGCCTGAAATCAGGGGACTCAGTGGTCTCCTTTAAACTCACCTGTTCAGGTGTTGATGAGACCTTCATCACCTCCCTCTCCTTGTTCTGCTCTTATTCTGTCATTCCTAGGATCCACTGATTCCCCACTTTCCTATTCATGTTCTTTCTCCCTTTCCAACACATTCTCACACCCAAAGCATTGAAAAATGATGCGTGTGACCAAGCGTCAAAGTCTGACGATCAGGGTGCCCCAGCGCGTCGGGAGAGGATACGCAGGGACACGTTGTCACCGCGGGCGTCCGTATCCGACGCCCGCGGTGACACGAACATTATTCCTTGAACCTCTAGCGATTTAACCTTCCCCTCACCCCAATCCTAACCTTAACTCAGTAATTTTCAATAAAGCTTTGCATGCGCAAGCTGGTTAAGGTTAGAATGGGGGTGAGGGGAAGGTTAAGTAGTTCACAAGTCGGTCAAATGTCCGTCTCACCGCGGGCGTTGGATACCGTTGCTCTGGGACAGTGTGTCCACTCCCGATGTGCTGGGGCACCCTGATCGTCAGACTTTGACGCTTGGTCACACGCATCATTTTTCGACGCTTTGGGTGTGAGAATGTGTTGCCCTTTCCGTACATACTTTAATCACAATTTTCTTTTTTTCTTCTCATTTAAAATATATTTTTAATCTTTTTTTAATATAGTTTTATGTTTGTTCTCAAAGGTTTAAAATAGCCTGATCTGGAACCTTTAGAAAATAAGGTCGATAAAAGTCCAGGACCAGGTGGGATATGGAGAAGATAGCCAAAGTGGTGTTGAGTACATCTATATATCTACTGGACAATTCATGTGCTGCTGTGAAATTGGTATTTTCAACATGGGCGTCAATTAGGATGTGCTCACTTCTGGTGCCAGCCCCTAGTGGATGAGGGTGGAACTGTTATTTTAGCCATTTCCATGTTGGCTTCAATTTCGTTGCAGAATTAAGGGGGCCTGCTTGAGGGCAGCTAGTGGGGTGTTCACTGAGAATTTTGAAATGTCCCTAGAAAAGAGGATGATTCCTATCGACCCTTTTACAACAGCACTGGCTAGACCAGGAGTCGACTACCTTTCCCCATCAAAAAGTCTTTATTACCCATTTCCCACAATAAAGAAAACACTAGGAGCCAAAGCAGCCGCAGGTGGGCCTACCGGGCCTGGGCCCACCCTAAGACAGCCGAGATCTGCTTCGACCAATCACAACAGGTGACAGCAGCCAATACCAGTCGCTCATGGACGTGAATGTTATCTTTCAACAGAAGATAATTAATAAAACTATTTGTATAAAACTGATCCAGAAGTTGTAGCTTGTCTGATTCTATAATATGTTGATATTAGTCACCCCGTTAGTGGTTTAAATGGCTCAGCAGGTGGTGCTTTTTACCTCATCACGCACGTCACCTTCTAAAACATGTTTAAACTGTTCAGAATACAAGTCCAGGCTCAGTCTCCTTAATTTAACGTCATACAGAACGACACTGTTGAAATTTACATTTCCAGCTATGAGATAACGGTGCAGAGTGCATGGCTCTGGTGGTAATCAGGTTGACTGTCTCTCTTTGCAACAATCTTCACAAGAAGATAAAACTGTTAAATGACAGAGTTCACACTGACCAGATATTTCCCGTATTTGACCGTTTACTTTGACGGAGGAACCTCCAGGCTGTCGGTGGTTTTGAAAGAATGACATTTTAATGGTAACGCACATGGCGGAGGTAGCTAACTCAGTCAGGAAAAGACTCCCATCAGAACATCTGAGCTGGACTCTGGGCTCAGCGCAGCTCGCTGTCAGCGCGTATGTGAGGTGGACAGTACGCTGAAGATGTGGAGAGGGGCTTGGAGCTCGTCGGTCACCGGCAGCAGCAGAACCAGGACCATGCAGGAAGGTTCCTCTCACTGAAGCGAGTGTTTTCCTAACCCTGTCTCTCAGAGAGACTTGTCACTTAGAAAATGTTCCTGATGACGAGACTTTGGCTGAATAGCGCTTGTTCCTGTCTCCAACGTGGCGACGAATCCATGAGCCTGTCTGAGGAAAAGTCCAGAAGCTCATATCCTCTTCAGCTCAGGAAGCTCCTACAGAGACGTCTGATTACACACAAGCAGGTGACCTGTGCACCTGGTCTCACGTGAATCACTAACAAAAACAGTTTTAACTCTGAAGAGTAACACCAACACTGCAGGACAAAGAACTTTCACTACGTTGACTCTGATAGACTTCCCATACTATGCTGCTCATTTAACATCAGGGACTTTACTGGGTAGTGGGGTGCCCCATCTCTCTAGAGTGGAACTTGGCCCTGTCCTTTTTCACCATTAATGCACACTTTGCTGAATTCCTTGTAGTTTGAACTTCAATGAAGGGTTTTACCCAAACAGTGAGCCGAGCAGTGCACAACCCTGCCCATCACAGGACCCATGACTAGTAAGCCTACTCCCACTCCAGGTCTCCAGCACCGGGCAGCAAACAGAAAACAGGAGTGACAAGACGTCGAGTTTCACTCTGCCGGCTCCGTTGTGGTATAGATGCATGTTTTATAGAGTGCATTTAAAACGAGAAGCCACCACAGACACCCTTTGCCAACAGCAGCCTGCCTTTGGGCTGGTAAAGTTAGAGTGAACCTGAAGTTATCAGAAAAAGCAGACGCTGAACCTAAATTCTATCTTAAATTCTAGAAATGACTGCATTTAGATCAAACGTTTGAAAGTGAGACACGTACATTGGTTTGGAGGCTTCAGCTTGGTCGGTCTGAAGTTTGTGACCTCCTTCCACCTCCATTGTGCAGTAAACTATTCTGTTTGGAGCCAAGGACCTCAGACCCTGTACCTCCAATATTACCACCTGAAAGAAAAGCACAGTAGGATTTGTCTGTAAGAAGGTTTCAGTTGAATAACAACCCAGCACCACTGAAACTGCTGATGAATCCAGCATTCGTATTTTTGAGCTTTGCTAGTTTTACTGGATGAACAGCAACAGTAAACGTGCTACCTGTGACAGGCTGCTGCACACTAACGGGCTTTCTAAACAAACCTTCATGGGACAAATACCTCAGGTTGGTGCCGGTTGGCAGTCACCAGAGTTGGGAAGGTTTGTTTTAAAGATGAACTGGTTCATTATGTTGTGGAGAGCTAATATCCCCGGAGTTCTGGAGCTTTCTAACTGTAGCTACCGATTCAGCTCTTAGGCGTCCCCGGCTGCAGCTTTTACCCCAACAGTACGTGCTCAATAAGACGGGGAAAACCTGCTGTCTCAGAAGAGGAATCAAACAATCTGAGGGAGTAGCAGGCTGAGGTAGGACACAAGGAGTCCAATTTTCTAAGTGCAAAGCATTTAAATGCTAATCGGTTTTTAATTAAGCCGCTTTTCTAATTTTGTGCAAGAATTTTCTGACTGGTTTGTCAAAAGAAAAAGAAAAATGATTGAACTTTGGTCCTAAATAGCAGCAATCAGCCTGAAGGAGTCAGTAAAACACAAAGCAAATAATAATCAAATCAATAAATTACGTTCTGATGGAACTGATGTTTCCCCTTCTACGTTCCATTTCCATACTCCAACACTTCTGAGTATGAAAACTCAGCTGGGACACCCCCGACGTTCCTTAATCTGAATCCAAGGTTTAATAAATGGTATCTGTAGTTAAGGCGGACATGTGAGGGTGCTACCACATGTCGTGGTTTGTCTTCCCGCGTAAACGCCGCATCGTCTGTCGTTAACAGCACACATAGACGCTTCGACTGCTGCTGCCTATGAGAGCTGCATCTACAGGGTCTTCTCTTCATAATGTCTATGGTTGGCAGGATGTTGCGCCTCCGCTTTACATCTGTGGAAATCTGGAGCTCTCCAAAGTGATCATTAACCTGTTCACACATGCCAGAATTCATGCGCTCACGTTGATGTTCATCAGGTGAAATACGAGCGAGTTCCATTAACATTCACAAAAAACATGAACGAGTTCATGAAGGTCCAGTCTACGAGCTTGTTTAGGTCATACACACCTGAGTTTGTCACTAATCTGAACAGGATGGGTGCTTACCTCTAGGGTGAAGGACAGGACAACATCAGACTTGGACAGCATGTTCTCATCCTCCTGGCCCATGTCCATAATGGAGGTGTTGTGGCCCCGCTTTAGCTTCTGCAGCTTGAACTCTCCTCCTTTAGACACGGGCATGCTCTCCAAGTTTGCCATCAGCAGGTTGACGGAAGAGCGAAGCTCCTCAATGTACATGGCCTCCATTTCTTTGGAGACAAACTTGGGAAACCTCCCACCAAGCTAAGGACAGAAATAAACCAGCTTATTCTTAGAAATCCGTACTAGCCTGCAACAAATTCCTCTTTCATCCACTCACATATTGTTTGACTTTGAAGTGGAAGTTGGAGGTAATCTAAAGTGTTATTTGACCTACTGACCCAGTTCAAGAAGAACATTTAGTGTGGACCTTTGAAACTCTTTGCGTAAAGTCACCGGACCTCCTGCTTACTCCAGTGCCAGTATCTTACCCGGGTGATCTGATCCGCCATCTGCAGCCGTCCATCCAGCTCTCTCCTGATCTGAGCCGCCTGCTCATCTGGATTGTCCAGCTGGTGAAACACAACCCACACCCCATCTGTTAGTTGATGTCTGTAAACACGTGTTTTTTTAAGACAAACATCTAAGTACAACAGCAGATAAAAGGAGGTGACTATCACCATCTCATATATTAGAAGGAAATAAGCGTTTTAGAAACTAAGCTGAATTTGACTGAAGTTGAAGTAAGAAAAGAAGGAAATCAGCCAACCTTTCGGTTTCCTTCTTCTTTTAAAAGTTCTTATTTTTAGCTTTTATGAACGTTTCGGCTTGTTTATGCATGGCTGTCTTTATCCAACGGCAATGCTTCCTTAAGGCCACATAATGGTTGCCCTGCTGATTTGTCTGAATGTTGTTGATCTGTTGCAGGTTATTCTCACCGACGCCTTCATAATAAAAGCTTTGAAAACATTTTAGAGTTTAGATTTAATAATCAAAGGAGGATAATTATCCACGACCCAAGGATAACCTCCACCTGCCTGACACGGCAAAAAGAGACTAGATCATTCCGGTGACTTGTCAGAGACCAAACTTCAGGATCCAGTTCACATTTAGGTGGAAATCCATATAAATATTATTAAGGTCAGTAAACTACAGCGAAGAAAAGAAGCAAGCCCAACATCAAAATGTATCCATGCAGGTTGCTTTAAACATGTGTTTATGGCAAAAACAGCATGTGTTTGATGGTTTGGCCAACATTACATGAGAAGGTGTAGTCGGGGACTCACTCTTCTGATGAGAACCAGAGCCACACAAGACAAAAACAGTTTCATGGTTTTTCAACTCCCCTTCAAAATGGATGTTTCTGCTGTTTGCTGTCACTCGTGTTTTTAGAGTTACGGGTCCATCGAGTGGAGAAGAACTAAAAGAAGGAATCACACTATTGCCGTTACAAAGTAAAGGTAAAGTCCCATAATCGTCACCACATACTGGTGAAATTACAACTCTGCAAGAAAACATTCACATTCTGTCAAAAAACAGTAAGAAAACCAGAAAAGCTGTGAATGTGATGCTTTGCAGAGCAATATCACTCCATAATGGTTCCTTCTGGTCTGTGCATCAACATGCTGCTCATGTTTCTTCTACATTCTGATGCCATCCGAGTAAAGTGTGGGTTTGCATGTCTGGTTTCACAGTTTAAGGCAACACTTTGGTCCTAACTCCCATCCCAAGGCCAGTCACCTCTTTTCAGTAGCTTGATTCATCAGTCCCAAAATACCGTCCATTAAAGAGGGCAACAAATGTGCAGTGATCCCTGCTATAAATGAAAGCCTTGTGAGTCATTTTCTGAGGGACAAAAGCTCTGATGCTCCTGTTCAGGAAGTAGTAGCTAGTTGGAGTAGTGGGGGCAAATCAGCTAAATGTAACATGTTGAAGAAATGTCCCGCCTTTCCTGCCTCTGATTGGCTAGCATGGCTCTACTACAATTAGCTCTTTAATCTTCTGGGTTTAGGTGTTTAAAGGCCCCCCAAACTCCTTTCCTCATTCGTCCACTCACTTTCTCCTTCCTCCCTAATGAAATGAAAATGACCCGCACTTGTATAGCGCCTCTCAGAGTAAGGACTCCAAAGCGCTTTACATTACAGTGGACAATTCATCCATTCACACACTGGTGGTGATGAGCTACAATGTAGCCACAGCTGCCCTGGGGCGCACTGACAGAGGCGAGGCTGCCGAGCACAGGCGCCACCGGTCCCTCCGACCACCACCAGCAGGCAAGGTGGGTTAAGTGTCTTGCCCAAGGACACAACAGTGGAATTCTCTGTCCGGAGCCGGGATCGAACCTACAACCTTCCGATTTCTGGACAACCCACTCAACCTGTTGAGCTGCTGCTGCCCCAACCCCAACCCTAGGCACTAAATGAAAAGTAACTGCCATGTAAAAGATGCTTTTCACGTTAAAATAATTACATATCAATTAAAAATTAATAAATATTATTATAACAATATTAATAATAACAACAACATTATTGTTATTATTGTTGTTATTGTTATTATTATTAATAATAATAATAACAATAGTATTAATAATAATTGCTACAA